AAATAATTACTTGAATAATAAAAGCACTTATGTATTAAACACAAGCTTTAATATCAAACATTTCAATTACTAGAAAATTCAAGATGTAAAGGCAAGTTTTTTCTTTCTTCTATTAAAAAAGCAATTCATATGCTCTAAGAACAATATTTAATATTAGTGTTAAATCAACATGTTATTCACAAATAGTACAAGCAAATAATGTATCCACTTGTATGTTAGCAATTCAGAAATAGCAAAGAATAGAACTACAAGTCTGCAAGAAAATAACATTCATAGAATTATTTCATTTTGCTGTAAAAAAGTCGTATCATCGGGCAAAAATTTCATTCCACTTATGTAAAGGAATATCTAGAATTGAATCAACACAGTTTAATTCCTGAGCAATATTCAGTCTGAATCTGCAAAACAGAGCTCTAATAAAACAAAAGAATCAAACAATTTTAAAAATCTTAAGATCTTACTATACTTTAATGACTTCTCTTAAAAGCAAAATAGGCAATCACTCACATAAAGACATTACATTCATTAAAAACCTTCATTCAGTTAATGATTCATTAAAAAGCTCAAAATTACAATAAGGACATATATAAAAGCAAATGATAAACTAGAAAACAAGAATAAAATGCAAAATTCTAACAAAAATTGGCAATACCTGCAGCATTCCATTTCAATTCACCCCTCTTACAAAAAGAGCTTCAAAATAAAAATTAACTGATTTAGCTCAATACATTAAACGATAAGCTTGGTGATTTTCAAAAAGGAGTCAGAAATTTAATAGTAATATCCAGGTTACAGAAATTCAGAAACATCATTGTGATCACAAACACACAAAAACAGTATTACACATGCACACGCAATAATCTGTATAAATCTCTAAAATAGATTTACCAAATTTAAAGCCATTTTTCAGAATACAAAATGGAGTTCTTTATTTAAGCATTTTATCTTTTTTTATAAGTATTTTACTTGGACAGCAGCAAATTAGGTTAAATACAATTGCCAATATCCTGTTGGCACATGTTGCTTAGTTGTGCACCAGTAACAGAAAATAAAAAAAAAAAAAAAAAAAAGAAATTATAGTTTAACAGACTTTGTAAACACTAGTTGAATTATTTCTTTTGAACTTGCTGTTTTAGAATATCATTTTTGAAAGTTGACAAGGTAATATGATAACTTTTTATATGAATAGTAACAATTATTCTGATATTTTAATATGAACAGTAAATCATATAGTACATATAATGAAATGATTTAGTGCACAATAAATAATCATGTACTACATGAATAAATTCTAACAATAACTATTTACAAATTAAAGCTTTGCTCAGAAATTATTGCTCATTATTTTGAATGAATCAAAACTCCTGATAAACTATTGTGCACTACAATATGTGCCTCTGAGGAAACAAATATATTTTACTTTGTTGGATTTATATTTGTATGTATATTTTAGTTTCCTTCTCCTCTTGTTTCTTATGCCACCTGATCTCAACTGTGTTGGATCTAGGCCCACGGAATTCATCATGGCAAGGGGCTAGATGTACGCCTGCCGTTGCCTTAAGCACCACACAAGTGACAGTACGATTTAGCTCAGTTCCACCCCGATTTTGAGGGAGAATACCCTGAGGAGGGTCAGGGGCCTCTCACCAACCTCATGAGAGGATGGGGCTATTTAGAGTACCCCCATGCTGCAAAGGCACTATACATTTACAAACATCTATGCCTTATCTGGGATTTGAATCCAGGCACTATGGTACTGTCACTAACCACTAGACCAGATTGGCGATGAGTTTCTCCATTTCATTTTGTGTAAAATCTCAATTTAACAATAAAGAAATGCTTGGATTGCAATTTTTAGTGCAAGAGGGGGAAATTATACAATACTAGCTGGTATACCCGTTCTTCGCACGGGTTAAGTGAAAAATTAAACAATACAGACTGAAGGATAAAGAAGTTTTTAATGAGTTAATTTTACGCGAATTGTAAGTTAAACAAACAAAAAAAAGCTTTTTGCATATCTCAGCTGAACAAAAAAACCATGTTTGCTACATTTTAAGTCTGTAGATATAATAGCTGATAAAAAAAAATCCTTTTATTTATATAAAGCCCCGTAACTATCTTGTAGATCGATTTTTGAAAACACCTTCCTTCTGCTCAACAAAAGTAACACTGTTACAAATTTTGAGTAATAAACGCTTAACATAGTGTAAATAATTTGTATCTGGATGTGTAATACGTTAATATTACTTTCTGATGTATTTATTCTATGTTAAATACCTGTTACCCGCGACTTCGTCCACGTGAAATTTAACAAAAGTGTTTATTCAATTCGCAGAGTTTACGAAAGCTTAATTATGTATTCTATGTAAAGAAATACCTATGCTATAAGTATAATGTCATTCTTCTACTTTGTGAAAAGATGTTTCTTTTTGTTGAGCAAGGGATGAGAGGGACGCATGACATTTGACACCATCGATGGGGTGAGGACTATAAAATCATTAGGATCAAAATAGGTCTCAGTTGGAGTAGGATGAAACGAAGCCGCAAGGAGAGGGACGCATGACCTTGACACTGTATGGGGTGAGAACTGTAAAATCATTAGGATCAAAGGACATGAATGGAAAATGGCAGCAACCTAATCAAACAAAAAAGTTCTATATAACTGCTAGAAATCGTTGAGACAGAAGGCTTGCGAAATAAAATAATCCCTATTTGAATTGGATATTGTTCACTATTTCATTGGTTTTAATTTTATTGTCGCAGAACCCTAATTTTTTTTTCTAAAATAAAAGTAGCTTAAGTTACTCCTTATAACATTAGCTATCTGCTAGTGAAAGTTCCGTCAAAATTGGTCCAGCCGTTTCAGAGATTAGCTGGGACAGACCGACAAAAATTTTAAAAATTAATTTTTTAATACAAGTATGCATTTAGTAAAAAACTGTTAATTTCAAACTACTAACAGACACATTTTAATTTATATGTATAGATTACATAACACTTAACTGCTTCCCTGATTTATTATTGTAATTTAACTATTGATTCATTGCATATTTAAATTATTTTAAAACAAAGTTAATTAGTTTTTATTTGTTTCATTTTTATTATTTCCAATTATTACTTAATTACAAGTTTTGTATGAAGTACCTTTTTTTAGTAATAAAATGCAATAATTTTTATATACAGCATTTTAATATGCAAACCATCCATCCATTTTTTGTGTCTCATTTAAAATGATTTATTATTTTCTTTTAAACCTACAATGAACTCTGCTTTTATTAGAATGCTAAAAGCATTTTTATAAAACACATCAGAATTTTGGGAAACAAGACCAAAAAAAAAAAAGTTTTAAAAATATCTTTTGTGAAATGACAAAATATTAGTTTCAGATGAAAACTTATTTACACTAATTAGTACTTAAATGTATATTAAATATATAGAGATGGAATTCTTATTATTTCTATTCATATATCTTTAAAATTATGTTAAAAAAAAATTCCCTAGCAATGTGAGAATATATGCTTTAATGAATGTATTCCTTAAAAAAGACACTAAAGTATTTCCAATATATATAATATGTTTACTATTAAACAGTATATATGTTTATATATATCTTGAAACCCAACTATTGTATCCTAATATCCTACAAAACTGTTATAGAAAATTATATTCATCAAAAAGTGAAATAAAATATTAAAACTAGTTATTGAATGACTGCAAATTTAAGAAAAAAACTGAAGAATATATTAATGTCAATATTTTAGTTATCAAGAAAAAAAGCTGCAAAATAAAAGAAATTTTTATTTTCATATAACATGTCTTTCTATTCAAAAGTTCATTTGTCTCTCTTCAGTTACATTTGATAAATTTACAATTTTTTTTAACTTGTGCTTCTCACATTTGATTTTTACCCTGTTTCTGCAGTATAAGTATTAATGTTTTAAAAATATGTATTACTTATGCTAAGGTTAACTTACCTAAAAGTTGAAAAAAAATATTAAAAAAAGTTAAAATCTTTAATTCTGCAATAAAAGAAATGTATCAATAGTGTATAAATACAAATTAGAGCAATTTTAAGACAGACAGACTTTTTACTACATTTTTTTTTAGGAATATTGAATACATATAAATTTTTTTCACTTTACAATACAAAATTGAAAACACTGCCTGCAATTATGTAATAATTATGTTCAATACATAAGAGGAAATGTATTACAAATACAAATGTAAATACAAATTAGAGCAATTTTAAGACAGACATACTTTTTACTACATTTTTTTTTAGGAATATTGAATACATATAAATTTTTTTTCACTTTACAGTACAAAATTGAAAACACTGCCAGCAATTATGTTCAATACATAAGAGGAAATGTATTACAAATACAAATTAGAGCAATTTTAAGACAGACATACTTTTTCCTACATTTTTTTTTAGGAATATTGAATACATATAAATTTTTTTCGCTTTACAGTAGAAATTGAAAACACTGCCAGCAATTATGTAATAATTATGTTCAATACATAAGAGGAAATGTATTACAAATACAAATGTAAATACAAATTAAAGCAATTTTAAGACAAACATACTTTTTACTACATTTTTTTTTAGGAATATTGAATACATATAAATTTTTTTCACTTTACAGTACAAAATTGAAAATACTGCCAGCAATTATGTAATAATTATGTTCAATACATAAGAGGAAATGTATTCATTGAACAGAAAAGCACGTAAAATTAAACACTATTTTTTTTCAATTCCTACTATTAGTTCACACTCTCCCTATATATATAATTATCTTGTTCAAATTTTTAATCGTTAATAAAATTCTTTTTTATTCATCCACTCAAGTTCATATACATATTTTAAACTTGCAGTAGATGACACTTGATGTTAATACAGGTTTTTCAAATATTAATTCTATTTAATTAAGGAGTAAATAGTAACCAACTAAAATACTAGTCCAACACCATATATAAAAAAGAAAATCACTCATTGTGTTCCTGTAGCATAAGGGATGGTGCTTTAGACTTCTAATTTAAGGGTCATGGGTTCGAATCCCACCTGGTGTCGTCCACGTCACTTGACCATGGTTCAAAATTACGTGGTCCGTCGCCAAAAGCCCTCGTGTAGCTGAACAGTGCGACGTTAATATTCAATCGAATCCCACCTGGGATGGCCTAATTTCTAAAAATGTGATTTCTTTTCACTATACTATTTTATTGGAATAATTAAATTTAATTAATGAATAAATAGTAACAAAAATAATAGTCCAACACCCTATATAGAAAGGAAATTTGCTTTGTATTTTGTCACTTGATGTTGTGATTCTGTCATATGTATATACATATTTATATTAATAGTAATTATTAAATAAAAAGTAACTAAAATAAAATTTTTCTTTGTTGATCTAAGTACCAATTGACTTAATTTTTAAAAAAAATATTACTTGTTTTCTAGGAAAGCTAGATTAGGAATACAATTTTGGAACATTTGTTTGAAAAATTTATAGAATTTCTGTTCTTTTGTTTAATATTAGGAAAAAACAATTTAATTCTGAACAGTATTTTATAATAATGACAGTATATATTTCATTTTAAATCTAGATATAAATTAACACACAAACAAAACATTTATTTCTGTTATATGTGATTATCATATAACAATTTCTTTCTATCAAATAATTTTCACTATATCAAATATTTCACTTTAATTTTAAGAGTCAATAAGATTTTTAAGTTAATAATACCAACAATTGAAATTGCTTGTTCATGTTCCTTATTTCTTGCTTACAATGTACTTAAAATTTAATGCGTATTTTTTCAGTTTCATTTAACAATTATTCTTGATTGAAAAACATTTCCAATCTTGAAATATGTTCAAGATTCAAACGTAAGTCCTTTAAGAAATCAGCATAAGATAAAACAGAAGTGAAGAGATAAAATGCTTCAATATATAGGAAATAGAATTCCTTTAAAATTGAAGATGAAAGAAGTCAAAAATATATTTCTTTTAGAAATCAAAAAATGCATTTCAGTTTCTGACAGCTTTTCTTAAAATCTATACTTTAACAATCTATTGTTACATTTACTTTATACACTATAAAATAATAAAATCCATACAATAATTTTTTTTACTTGCTTCAAATAAATATACATGGAAAAAATATTCGAACAATCATGGATTTTATTTCACATGCATTATAAAAATTACATAATTAATCATAAAAACCAAACTATGACTAATGAGATATTGTCATGAGATACAGAAGCAATGCATGGTGCAATTTTAGCATGTTTTTCCATATTAAAATCTTTATAGCTATTACAAAGAATTCTTTAGAAATATCACCAGTGTCAGAAATTAACTCGTTTATAATTCTAGTTACATACAATTTTCTTTTTGCTATTTGAAAGATAAAAAAATATTTCACTAAACAATGTGCAAAACTCTGATGAATGCTAATGAATGAAACTTATATAAAGAACAACTATCTTAATATCATCAAAAACAAAAGTATTCCGAAGCATGGAGAACATGAGTGTCTTTATTAGTTGACATACTTAAGGCTGTTTTCGCCATCTGTAAGAGAGCAGGAACTTAACGTGGATCATATTTTCAGATAGAAAAAATGCCTCAATTTTTATAAAAATTGTGACATTGTAACTAATGCATTTGTTTACAATAAAGCGTTTTTAAAATTTCAGAATATTTTATATAAATAATTAGTTTTTCCTTTTAACATGTAAAGAGATAGCTCATTTTAGTGTTACGATACAGGAGAAAAAGCACGAAATACATTTTATAGAAGAAAAAATATGTCAACTCGAATAAAATTGTGCAGTATGATAAAGTAGACGATTCTCTACAGGACAATGAAGCCAGAATATAATGTTAATGTTTGAGTACTTTTATATCTGAAAAAATATTCCGAAATTGGGTCCTAATTTTTAACATTAGCCGAAGACAGCCTTAAAGAGTGAGCTCCTTTTTTTACATTAATCATCCTCACACAAATTCTCAAAACAAAGTACTGCATTGAAATGGTCAACATTCTCTAGTTTCTAAACACTAAACTATAAAAGATATCAGAATACATTAAGTGGTAAGAAATAAAAATACATATCAAATGCTAAGCCTAAAAATTCGGTACTTGTGCATTATCGCAGCCTATCGGCGAAGTTATATGAAATGAAGCACATGGTTGCCAATTCAGCACATACAACATATAGGAAATCACAGCAGCCAACTTGGCAAGTTATTAATAGAGTTGGCAATTGTTGCAATAATACGTAAGTACCAAAATTTTTAATGTGGTACACCCATTCACAAAGTCACTTAGAACAATGATTTATATATGAAACACATAGCTATGAAATTTTATTTGTGGTAGATGCATATGTGACATATCTGACCTAAAGTGGCAATATAATATGCAAAACAGAGAGTATGAAACAGCACTACAAATATTTATAACAATATTTTAGTTTATTTTTTTTAGAAATAACACTAAAGAGACTAACATGACGAACAAAAGTTTCACAAAAACAAATTGAAATAAACTTTGTAAATAAATTTTCTATTCAATTACAAAAACTTAGTATTAATCTATGATTAAAGTAAATACTCAAACTTAGTAGTGTAACAGCTCATGAGGGCCAGGGCCTACTATGCCCATCCCAGTATACACGACCATTGGGTGCCGAGAAGCAAAAGCAGATGTCCCGATCAGGTGGTCAATCTAAAGCGAGACCCCCAATATTTTAAGTCCCCAAGCAAGCTTGGTACTCATTTATTGACCCTCTACAGTAGGGATGAAAGGCTGAGTCGACCTTGCCCAGCCCGGGAATAGAACCCGACACTGTGGTGTGGAAGCGCAATATGCTACCACTGGGCCTCATGCTTAATGTAAATACTTTTCTATATATTTCCACAGAGAAAATACCATTAAAATAAGTCTTCAAGCTTCTCAATTCAGATGTAAAGTTCATTTCTAACAATACATCTACTTGAACTTAATTGAGACAGAGATAAAAGTCAAAATAAATGCATCTTACCATAAGCCAGAACAAAGCCAAATACCAGTTTTAATGAACCTTATTTTGTAATAGGAAAATACAGATTTGAAGCTGTCAATGGCTCTGAACAGAACACACTCAATGACATAACCCCCAGAAGTTGGCAATAGTCACTGCTGGTAACAAATGTTTTTATGGATTCAAAAATATTTAATATCTAATTTCAACAGCAGACAACAAAAGTACTCATTTACAAATCATTGATAAGGCACGTTCTAACACATGCTGCAGAAACGTGGGCAATGACCAAGATAGACCAGGAGAATCTTGCTGTAGTTAAATAGTGAGTGAGTGAATATTAACGTCGTGCTATTCAGCTACTCGAGGGTTTTTGGCGATGGACCTTGTAATTATGAACTATGGTCAAGTGACGAGGACAACACTTGAGCTGGCACCTCCTTTTCTAACCTCCACACTACACCAATTGGAAGATGCTTGAGCCTCGGCAGATTTAATGTGCCTCAAACACTATACAACAAGTCTTCAGCTGGACAAGACACAAACTTTAGAAAAGCCGGCCACAAATCCATTATCTTGACCACTAGGCTACTGCAGCCACTTACTATAGTTGAAAGCAGAGTCCTTAGAAGTATTTTTGAGGTTTAAAATGGGATAACATTTAGAGGAGAACCAACTTAGAAATTTAAAATCTTTTTAAAGAACCAAATATTGCTAAATTCAGGACATCTGATGATTGAATAACAATTGAGTAAAAAAAAAAGATTTTTGGGGCCAGACCATATGGAATTTGAAAAAGAGGGAGATTAATACTCTGGTGGATTGATTGCCTAGAAAAAGATCTGAAAGCTATTAATGTCAGAAACTAGAAAAGTCAGGCCAAGAACAGGACAGCCTGGAATGGAATTCTTAGGATGGTCAAGGCCCACCCCAGACTGTTGTGCCATTGAGGAAGGGAGAAATAAAAAAGTATGCTTAAAAATTATATAAATCAGCAATTATTTATTTCAATGAATCTTCTTTTTTATAAGCATAATAACCTCTTACAGGTCTTGGCTGCCTCCACAGCTCGCTTCTTCCAATTCCAATGATACGCAGCAACTCTCTACCAGTTTTTAATATTTAGAGTTTTTAAGTCATTTTCAACATCATCTATCCACCTTGGTGGACTTTCTCTTGTTCGAGATCCCATAGGATTTTTAAACGTGTAAGCTCTGGTCTGGTTGTTTTCAGGGCTTCTCCAGATGTGGCCGAGCCATCTCAATCTGTTACTCCGGATGACTTGAGTAACTTGAGGTTCTTTGTAAAGCCTATATAGCTCAAAATTATATCTAGTACGCCAACATCCTTGATCTTTAACAGGCCCAAATATAGTTCTCAGTGCTTTTCTTTTGAAGGTTTCCAGAACTTGAATAGTCTCCAAATTCAGCGTCCAGATTTCAATGAATAAGCAAAAAATATTTCTGGTGATGAGGGAATATATGTGAGAGAAATTTCACTTTTTTGTGTTCCTTTAGTACAAAGAATTACTGATTTAATGATTTTGGAGGTCAATTTTTGCCCAATTCTAGCTAGGAGCACTACGTTTCCACCAAGGAAAATAATAGCAAGCTTTCCAGTGAGAATACTAAATTCAAGAAAGTGCTGAGTTTAAGCTTCGAGGATCGCTTTATCAAAAATTAGGGACAATATCCTGCCTTTTATTTTCCTCTCTCATTTGTAGAAGATGGAGGAAATGCTGCCTTTTCATGGCATTGGCAAATAAATTGTTTTGGAAGCCTATGCTTCTCCTTGGTGATGAAAAAGTCACCTAGAAATTGAGCAACTCTTTATAATAAAGGACTCCACCGTTTTAACAAGTTTTAGGCTTCATACACATAAATATATGCATTGTTTCAAAGAATCAATTTCAGAAAGTACTTTTGCACATATTTCATAAACATGAGATTTCTTGATATTTACCAATTAGGCATCAACTATTTTTGCTAAATCAAAAGCAGTAACAAAATTTGTTAGCAAAAATGAGAAAAATGAAC